ACCTGAAGTACCTCACCAGCCCATGGCCCTTCGCATAGTGGGGAATCGACATCCTTGGACCATTCCCTCCAGCGACAGGACAGAGGAGATTTCTGGTAGTAGTAGTGGATTACTTCACAAAGTGGGTAGAAGCGGAACCCTTGGTAACAATCACAACACGAAATGTACAAAACTTCTTCTGGAGGAGTATAGTGTGCCGCTTCGGACTACCTCAAGTACTTATCTCTGACAACGGAAAGCAATTCGAAGACATGAAGTTTCAAAACTAGTGTGCCGAGATGGGGATATAGTAGAATTTCACTTCGGTGGCACACCCTCAAGCAAATGGGCAAGCAGAAGTCACGAACAGAGCTATACTCCATGGACTAAAAACCCGCTTAGCCCGAGCTAAAGGACTATGGGTGGATGAGCTGCCCAGTGTACTATGGGCCTATCAAACTACAATCAAGACCACCACAGGTGAAACCCCCTTTAACCTCACCTACGGCACGGAAGCAGTAATTCCAGCCGAAATCGAAGTACCTACATTACGCCTAGAGGCATACGACAGAGAAGCAAACAATGACGAGCTCTATACCAACCTCGACCTGGTAGAAGAAGTACGGGACCTCGCGTATATTCGGACTGTAGCTTACCAGCAAGGAGTAGCTCGGTACTATAATGCCCAGGTAAAAAAGAGACACTTTCGTGTCGGAGACCTGGTCCTTCGGAAAGTTATGGTTCCTGAGCCCGGTGTGGATAAGCTCGGACCAAACTGGAAAGGTCCCTACCGAGTGAAGCGGGCACTCGGGGAAAGTATGTACGAGCTCAAAACGTTAGAGGAAAAATAGGTACCTTGGGCTTGGAACATCAACAATTTAAGATGATACTACCTGTAATCGTCAAACTAGGGGAGCAGACTGAGAGTCACTCCCAGAAAACCAAGGAGAGTGGACCTTAAGTCGCTCCCAGAGCCTAAGGGCTAAAACACTATAAGACCTAGTCGCCTCTTCGGCATGGGCAAAATCCAGGAGTGGACTTCGAGTCGTTCCCAAAAGCCTAAAGGCTAAAATACTACAAGACCCAGTCGCCTTTTTGGCATGGGCGAACTCCAAAGGAGAGTGGACTATGAGTCGCTCCCATCACCCAAGGACCAAAGTGCCGAGCTAACAAAAGACCTCGGCACCACATAAGACCCAGTCACCTCTTCGGCATGGGCGAACTAGTCCCAGTCGCCTCCTTGGCATGGGCATCTAAGGCATAGACAACTCGGGTAGAAACCCTACGATGTCTATATCACCTTGACAACAATCACAGTCCGGGTCCTTCAGGGAACCAACATTTAAATAACCCGTACGCAAACAAATCGGGTACATACCCTACGATGTCACTCACCGGGGTTGCCCCTACTAATAGCCCTAGCAGACAGTTCGAGGTGACAAACACGGAAAAATTCCACTTTGGTTACCCTTACTCGTTACCAAGCTCGGTAACTCGATAGTTCGGGGTAACCCACAGTTTGGAGTAACAAACAATTTGTACTTTTGGTTATCCTTACTTGTTGTCCAGCTCCGTAGCTCGACAATTCGGGTAACCTGTACATATGTTGCCTAGATCGGAAGTTATCCATAAATATCTTTTGCACAAAAACAGTATATTTCATTGATGAAAAAGTTCAAGTACAGGAGTTTTGCTACAACCCGAGCTCAGTGGCTTCGGGGTGTACATCCAGGATTCAAGAAGAAAAAGAAATAGAAGCAGCTATCACGCGGAGGGGTCCACCACTTCGACCTCGTCATCGCTCTCCACCCCTGACGAGTCGGGCTCCTCGTCCGCTGCCTTGGCCACTCCGGGGGCTACGCCCGACATCATAATGGCACCGAGGTCGAGATCGGGGAACTTCTACCGGACCAGGTACCTGCACAGCTTGAACCTAGAACGATAGGAACTCGAGACATATTCAACCTGTAGAGTGCGAAACTCCAGGGACTCCTTGAAGCGCTCAACGGCCTGGTTCCTTTCCTCTATCCACGCCTCCTGGACAGCGGTTTCGAAGATTTGGGTACGCTCCTGGACCAAGGCCTCGAGGTTTTCGACCTCTCGCTGAAGCCGCGCCTTCTCCTCAGTTAGCGCGGAGATCTGCCCTTCCTGGACCAAGATCAGCTGCTTCTGGCCCTCAACTCCTTTTTTGGCTTGAAGTACTCCGCCCCAAACTAGGTCCAGCACGCGGTGAAGCTTTCGCACCTCCACCTTGGCATCCCGAGCTTCCTTTGAATGGGTCACAAATTGGCAAGCCAACGTGTGAATAGCAGAGTTGGCCTAGCAAAAGAAGACCGAGGTCAGTAAAAAAAAAATTGAAGGTAGGATACTTACCACCATACAGTGGCTAGCGGCCAGTCCCAAGAGTCGAGCTGAAGGCATGTCAGCCCATTACGCGACCTCATCATAGAAGACAACGTCTCGGCTCTTGCGCACCGCAAGCATGTGATCCATTATACTTTCTTGCGTGCTTGCGGGAGCGCTCTCTGGTTCGGCGTCTGCCGCCTCGGGCGCAGACGAGCCTCCCGGCTCCTGGGGATGAGCTTCCCCCTCGCGGCCCTCGCCCACGACCGCTTCGGGGGACGCAGGTCGGGCCTCCTCCCTGGGGGGCTTAGTGGAGATCGGCTCCATAGCCAGAACCTCGGTTGAGCCAGAGGGTACCCGGCTTCCTGGTGAGGTCTCTTCGCGGCCCTTCGCTTCTTCCCCTTCTGGGAACTCTTCAAGAGACTCTGCATCGACCTCCGGCATGGTGACTGCAAAAAAGTAGAAGGTTAACCACGAACTAATTAGAACCTAAGTAAAATACCCGAAGCAACCTACCAGGACTCAAGTCGGCCTGTGCGAGCTTATCTTCGGCAAGGTAGTCCGCACAGATGAAACCGAGCTCCGCCCAAGACTGGAGCGTCTTCCTTGTCTTCAGGTCCAGTCTAACACCGGAATCCTGAATGGCCGCCCTCCAATGGGTTGGAAAAGGCCACCCTGCGGGATTGCGGATCACGAAGTAATTCCATTTCCAGGCCGGGATCCTATTAGGTAGTTCGCACATAAGCTTATAGCCCAGGTGAGGAGACAGGTAGTAGGTCCGCCTATGCTCGAGAAGAGCACAAGAAGAGTTCTTCTTGATAGACAAAATGGAAGAAAAAATCTCGGGGTTGAGGGGCAAACAATACTCATAAAAAAGCGAAATGGTCCCTACTACATTGCAGATGGAGTTCGGGTGCAACTGATCTATGATGATGTTAAAAGACTTCAGGACCTCTATAATCAAGGGGTGCAAAGGTAGACGAAGACCAGCCGTGAGCTGGTCTTCAAAAATCACGATCTCATTGTGATTGTGTTCCCAAGGAAAGTTACCTACGGGGAGACTGTAGGAGAGCTCTATCGAGAGGTTATACTGGTGTACTAAGGCCTGGAGCCTGTCTAAGGTCATTACTGAAGGGCCAAAGTTGTCCAGCACCCGACCTTGATGAGAGGTGGATGCCAGGTTACCCAAGGCCTCTCGAGCCTCCCAGGGTGACTGCCCCTCGGGAGGGCCACGAACTGCCTCTGAGCCCGAAGTAGCCTCATCTCGGCTATCAACCTGGGCCGAGGTACCACCCTTGGCCTCATCTAAGAGACTATCAAAACTAAAGGAAGACATTGACAAACTGAACTGAACTAAAAAGAAAAGCTAAGGAAGACTCACCAAAGAAGGACAACCGAACTGGAAGAAAGTGGCGAACTAGAAAACCCGAGCTAAAAAAGCTAAGCACAACCTCAGATCGAAGACTATTTATGGCGAAGAATATGAGCCTCGGGTCCCCCCTATTTATAGCCACTATACCGAAGAAGCAACGGTCAAGATCAAAGCAATTTGATGACTCCTAAGAAAACCGGCTGCACAACCCTCGAGATCGAAGACAGTTTAGTGCATTTTTTAGCGTCCGCAGAATTTATAGATCGTGTGACGTCCGCGCGTAAACCACACGCAATCTGACAGAGCAGCCTGGACTTCGAGCCAAATCCATTTGTCACATCGTGAACTCCCCGCACCAGAGCCAAATCCATTTATTAAAAAATTAGTTTTATAATTTGACTCCGTTATTTTGTGTTAATCAAATAATTGATAATGAAAATCATGTGGATGGGGTGGCAGAAGATGGTAATGTTGATATAATTTGTTTTTTTAATGAGTCCTTATTTGTTAATTTTTCAAATATATGTTAACATGTTGATGTTCTTTTGGAGGAACTTTCCTTCTCAGTCTCTAATTTTATTAATAGGCTCTTTCATAATTTGTCAGCGGGCAATTTGTGTGTGAACTCAACTTAATTAGGTATAGATGGTGCATATTAGAACTCCTAAACTGACCGATTCAATCATACCAAAGCTTGAAATGTGTGGTGCATATTTATTAGGCGTTTTCTTCCAAGGAATTGGAACGAGGATCCTAGAGTTGCATCTTCCCTATTTCCATTGTATGTGATCTATTTCCTTTTCCCTCAATTCTTGCAAATGCTTATTTTCACTTATTCCTATTAGTTATTAAATTATTTCTAGGTATTTTGTGTATGATTTTCATGCACTAAGGTGCGTCTGTTTGTGATCTCATGTGCCTATGCAGAAGGAAAAAGTTTTTTTTTTTTCTGTTTTTTAAAGATAGGCAGGACAACAAGGTTTAAACATTGGTTTCAATGTAAATGATGAAGCCATGTTTTGTAGAAATCTGGAAAATCAGAAATCTTATATGTATGTATATGTATATAGGAAAGGGGTGGTCTCCCCTTTTGCCACATGTTACTTTGTGTGTATAGTTGATTATTTTAGTGTTTAATCGGCCAATTTTTAAGAATATCAATAAATTAATCAAAAAATGATTATTAAAATCAGCCTTAGATATAAATTTTTTAATAAATTATGGTTATTTATCAAAAAATTATGGAATCATTTTAGTTACTGGTTTTTGGGTTGATAGCTCAACCCTCTACTTTGAAAGAGATAACTTAATTACACATCCATGCAGCACTCTAGTGAACATTTTATTTATGATGGAACCATTGTAAGTAGTACAACACACCTTAACAATACTAAATACCAACTTCACGATCCTGTGGTAGAACAAACTTTCCAACAACAACGTAACAACATTTATTTCTATTATTGCTACTACTGCGTTTGTTGCTGTTGAACTTGAAACTTACTTCCTCAACAACACGGAGGAGGATGATGTCCGATCAAGTGTGGAGGGTGAATAATATGAGGTAGCGGATGTTTAATACCAGGAGGCAAACGAACACGCGGAAATCCGAAAAGACGACGTCCTTGGCTTCACACCGGCAGAAAAAGAACAAAAACAATGTAAGTTTCAAATTAAAAATGTTTGTATATCCATACTGCAATTTCATTTCCTGTGTCATTATTATTTTTTTATAGGATGCAGGATCTCTTTACTCTTTAGGTCACCTTGCCCTTAGTAGGAAAACAAAATGTAAATGAACAAGAGAAAACGCATAAGATAATTTTTCTTATTCAATGTTTATCGATGGCCCTACAAATCGATACCAGTATGTGTCAATTTATAGCAATATGTTAACTCTTTTCAGCTCCATGAAATTTTAAAACGGACAACAATAGATAAAAATAGACAAAATGAGTAAATATTGCTATGAATCAAACACATTTTTATTGTCTGTCGTCAACTTTTAAATACTACAAGAGTTCTAAAAGAGGGTGTCAAATATGGAGGAATGGAGAATTGGAAACAAGGGTTGTGAAAAGGAAAAAGAACAAGAGAAATTGTTAGAACAATAAGGAATGTCCAAAGCATAAAAATGGAACAAACAAAAGGGAACTAATTTCTTTGAGAACGTACTATATGTTAGTTCCGGCATCCTCGCCAGGAACAGCCTCAGAGGGAATGAGAATGAAAGCAAAGTAGAAGGCCAAGGCCAAAGCAAAGACAAAGAAAGTCTTTGGAGCCATTGTTACTTGAGGGGGAACGGGGAGATCAAGAGTGAATTAAACCAGAGAAAGAAGGATGATTTCTTGTGCTTGATAAGGAAGGTATGGCACTTATTTATAGCCGCATGCAATTGACCAAGCAATTGTCATAAAGATTGAATTGCGTCACTGCCTTGTGCAAAATTGTTGTGGGCTGGGAAAGAGGAACCTACCTTCCTCCTTACAATTCATTTGTACAAATTTAAAAGATGAATTAAAGAGGAACCTACCTTTCACCAAGAACACCACCCGTTTTGAAAAGTATTAAAGAGGCGACTTTTATGAGATTAAAGCAAGACGTTCTGAAGAAAAATCTATTATTTACATGGTGGGTTCTAAATGCCTTTGGATTAGGTTTTTTGTTTGAGTTAAAAAATTAAATTTATTCTATAATTAAAGGATCGAAAATTCTGATTTGAAGATAATTTTTGCGAGATTAATTAAATCGGATAGTTTATGCATAAGTACGATCTTATGGCCATTAATTATGATCCCTCTCTTGAAGCGAGACCCAGTAAACAGTCCGGTCTGATCGTTGATTAATGTATATTTATTTTAATCCTCCATGCATTAAATGATAGGTCCAATCATCAAACATTACCAACCAACCACCATCACCATTGAGGGTTCAAGAATCATTCCACTTTACAATTGCCAGTTTGGTTTAAATGAACCAGTGATAAAGCGATACATACATTGTGAGACTGTGTACACATCATCACATGCACTTTTTTTGCCATCTGTATGCTTGCAGTTTTGCTTTGTAATAATGTACACATAACATCTATGCATGTATGTTTAAATTTGTAGGAAGATGTTCTCGATGTGTGGTCGGATGTCTAATAAAATGGTTTAAAACAAATTTTCATGACAGATATTCATTAGGGTTTTGATACACATAACTAACTTTGTAATAAGGCTTAAAGTTTCTTCATGATTTTTAAGCTGGCGTAATCTGATTACATCAGTGAAATATTCAGAAGGACATTTGTGTCGTTGAAAAGTGTGTGGATCCGCTAACCCCACTCTACGGGTGCAAGACACTACAACCTAACGTTTAGAATCAGCGCCATCCATGACAAAAATTCCAAAAGATGGAGCACACTTGTAGAAGTTTGTATTTTGCACTTTATTTTCAAAACTATAAGAGAAGTTTTTGTCAAGGCCAAAACACAATGATGATTTATAAAATTATTATGAGGAGGTTTTTTATAATGGACTAAAGACCTCCCTTTCTGGGCAACATTATTGGACAAATATCCCCTCCATTAACAATCCATCAAGATCAGTTTGCAGATGAGGTATGAGCGAGTAATTTTTTCTAAAAACCCAACTTTGCCCCTTCATGGGATACTGTCATTTCTGTTCATCGTTACTAAAAATAGCTCTTACTTATCACACATGATGATGATGAATATATAATATTAAAGATATATCCAATTTTTCTACAAAACTTTATAGAATAAGGGGCAAATTTGACACCAATAATATATGCATCACATGGGTTACTTCTAATTATAGTACAAGCAAGAACCTGAGGGAGCTTTGGCTCAGCTTATGTCCCAGCAGGCCAAGGTAGGTAGGTAGTAAGCTGAAGTCAATTCCCATTTTCTTTTCTTTCACCAAACAAGCCGCCTGTGCTTTTTATACAAATATTTTATATATGAATTTATATAAATGGATCCGATTGAATCCTAGTGAATCAGTTCAAATGATATTCAGATCTGATCTGATTAATAAATAAATGGATCATATTTTTACATTTGATCCAATCCGTTTGTAGCCCTAGCTTACTAAATTGAGCAAAACATAGCTGAATGCGATGACTGTTCAGCAGGCTGTGGAAGCAATGATAAGATTTTATGTCAGTAATAAAATACATGAGACTTTTATTTACCTTTTATGTCAGTAATAAAAGTCAAAGTCAATGCCTATTTACCTTTTTTTTTTTTCTTTCACCAAAGAACACCACCTGTTTTTGCAGGTATCAAAATGCGACTTTTATGAGACAAAAGCAAAGTTCAAAGTATGGGACAGAAAATTAAAGCAAGACATTCATGATTTGATTAATTGGAGAATCACCAAGAGACCATCTAATAAGTTCTCTGAACTTGATAATATAGGATAGAGGAGGTGTGAAGAAACTCAGAAAGAGAAAAATCTATTATTTACATGGTGAGTCCTAAAAGCCTTTGGATTGGGCTTTTTATTTGAATTAAAAAATTAAATTAAATTTATTTTTTAATTAAAGGATCCAAATTTCTGATTTGAAGATATTTTTCGAGCTTAAATTTGGATAGTTTATGCATAATTACCATCTTATGGCCATTAATTATGATCCCTCTCTTGAAGCGATACCCGGTAAACAGTCCCTGATCGTTGAATGTATATTTATTTGAATCCTCCATGCATTAAATGATTGGTCCAATCATCAAAGATCACCAACCAGGGTTCACGAACCATTCCACTTTACAATTGCCAGTTTGGTGTAATATAACTCAAATCTGAATGAACCATGATGCGATAGATACATAGTGATATTTTTAACAATGTTATTAAGAGAGTGTTTGGTTTTGTTTATGTTTATTCGTTAAACATTTTGTACTTGTGTGATTGTAAAACCGAGAAATACATTTAATGAGGGCATTTATGACACATAGGTGCCATTAGACACTATATCAGCAAAATGCCAATAAATGTCTAACCGTTTCAAGAAGTTCCAAAATGAAGCTTCTCCATCTTCCTGAAAAGAGAGGGGCACACAGAAATCGAAGTTTGCAAACTTCGATACACAAATGCAATTAATGAGGTATTTGCTGACGGGACACATATGTGGCACTGTCAATAAATATTTACTCAATAAACGTGAATGGAACCAAATATATACTAAGTCTTTAAAAAATAATATGAAACATGAACCAATGAAAAATAGATCTCATATGACATTTTTAATATCATTGATTGAAATTTTGATATGCCATGCCATAAAAAAAATTGGAAATGCATTATAGTTGAACTCATGACTTGAATATTATTTAGCAGCGTATATATATAGAGAGAGAGAGAGAGTTTGACATGCATTGTCCCTATGAGACTGTATACACACCCACCAACAATTTTTCTATGTATGTATGGATTATGGAGTCCGAATCTCTCTAATTAGTAATAAAACAATATATATATATATATATATATATATATATATAGCGTGTGTGATCTTACGGTGTCGAGCCAGTCCCAGATCATCGTTTGCAAGTAAAAACTCTTTGCACACGCATCCAATCACACAGTATAACATCTATGCATGTATCTCAATGTGTGGTCGGAATTCCATGCATATAAAGTGTGTACAGAATTTTTGCTTGGACAAGGTCCGGGGTCCTGTAATTTTCTTGCCTGTTCCATAAATGCCCTCAACCTAGTCACCAATAAAATGATTTAAAACAAATTTTCATGACAGATATTGGGATATTTATTAGGGTTTTGATACGGATAACTAACTTTGTAATAAGGCTTGAACTTTCTTCATTTTTTTCAAGCTGACGTAATCTGATTACACCACTGAAATATTCACAAAGACATTTATGTCGTTGAAAAGTGTATGAATCCACTACCCATTTATGACAAAAATTTAGGGAGAATGACCATTCAGCCCAGGGTTAGAATTTGTAGACTCAAAATATATTTGGGATAGGTGGAATTGACATCAATTCATGAACGGGTATGGGTGCATACAGTATGAATTTTTAACATTTTAAATATTTATATCTCTACAGTGGAAATCAAAAATCTGCATTTGGCCTTTTCCATATATTATTAACTATATAATTGATTCAAAACAACAAGAATCACTCCCGACCCAATTATTAATTAAGACAAATTCGCAGAACCAGGAGGTTTGGTCCTGTTGGATAGATCCAACACATTGATAGTCTTACCTTCTTGTACAGTGTAGCATTAGTCCATTAATGGATTGACCTAACCCATATCAATTTCAATTATGTAGGAATAATTAAAAATAAGGATTTTGACTTTAAAAAGAATGGATTGGCGAAGCAAAATTGATGTAGTTGATCCCCTCATTAACTCACCATAAACATTCTCTCCTCTTTCTCATTAATCCCTTTAATTATCTCTCCTGATTATTTATGCAATTAACTCTTTCTTTCAATAACCCATGCTACTAATTCTCTCTCCTCTCCATTATTCTACTAATTCATTAGCTTTAGATATATTTACATTGAATTATAATTATTAATAAAAATTAATTATACTGAAATGGAGATGTTTACTGGTATATTATTAGGCTAAAAAGATAGTTAATTAATCAATTAATTTGCATTTCATAATAACAATTATTTGCTTCTCTCAATAAATAAAACCAATGTTTTAAAAACTGACTTAGAGGCTAAATAATTTTTGCCTCTAGGTCACAATTCAACAATTCATTTGTATACGTATAATATTATATAATATAATTATATTTTGTTGTGTTCATGTATTATTTTAGGTATAATTTGTACTGTTATTTTAGTTTTTCATTTCTATAAATAAAAGAGCTGAAAATTAAAATTTGAGGCCAAAATTTGAGTTCGTTTGGTATAGTGACAAAGATTGCAACAAATTACCCAAAATAAAGAAAAGAATATGACCCCAATCGGACAACCAAGCACAAAGTTAAGTCTTCTAGAAGTTTTTCAATACATTGTATATTGTAACTTATGATCCAATGACTAGGTCGAAAGGGTCAATAGTTCAACCGTGCAAGTTGAACGAGTTTTGACCAAATCAACTATTTATTTATTTTTTTTTGACAAAATAGTGGGTTTCTGGAAACCTAGAAGTAGAAATAAGCCAGAGTCAAGTTTGAATGGTTCAATTGTTTGAATCAACTACAAGTTGGAAACGTTTAATAAAACATCATAAAAATTATAATCCATTTATATTCCATTTAAAAATAATTAAAATTAATTAACCATAGCAAAGATAATTTAGTAAACTACTTGAACAAAATAAAAATAGTTATTAAGTGTTAATTATTGATATAAATA